CCACCACCATGCTCTTTGTAGCAGTGGCTGGGAGACAGGAGAGCCGAGGGGAGCTTAGACTGATGTAGGGGCAAAGGAATGAGCAAGACAACCTGGGAAAGGCTCAGCTCATGCAAACACACTCTCACATTACTGGAACCATCTCCCAAATGCCCAACCCAGAAATCAGAGCATCATCATGGCCTCCTGCTCTTCCCCTCCCTCTCCTCCCACATCCAACCATTCACAAAGTTCTGGACATTTGCTCCTACTAACAGCTCCCACATCCCTCCAGCTCTCTCTGTCTTTATTAGGGTCACCATCATTCCTTTCCTGCCTCTAGTCTTGCCTCTTCTCCAACCCTTTCTCCACATGGCAGCTAAAGAAGAAATCTGCTTTCACCTCTTTACTAAAAGGGCTTCAATATAATTCCTCAGAATACAGTTGAATCTTCAGAGGATGGCTTAAACAATTTCCAGCATCTGGCCCCTGCTGTCCTCTTCAGGTGGCTGTCTCTTAATCCCTTCATTCTATCTCCTTGTCTGTCAGTCTCTCTTTCTCTCTCTCCATGTCTCCTATCACAGACACGAATACCTCAGTCATACTGAGCTACCTCTGTGCTTTCTCTTGCCATAGGACCTTGGTACCTGCTATCCTCTCTGGCTTGACCTTCCTACTAGATCTCCTTTATCCCTTTCAATTTGCTTCTTTCATCTTCAGCACATAGGCTACCTCCTCTAAGAAGTCTCTCCTGACTTTCCCTCCACCTCTACCCATTCTCCCATGATGCACTACATGTCTCTATCTTAGCACATACGATTACTGTACTGCAGATGCACGTTCACATCTTCATCTCCCCCAACAGGCTATAAGCCCAGGAATGTTGGGAATGTGTCTTTTTATCACTGTCTTTCCAGTACCTGACATGGTAAATAACAGGTGTGCCATCTATGCTCTGGTAACGTAGTGGTTACGAATCAGGCTGCTAATTTCACAGTTAGCAGTTCAAAACTACCAGCTGTTCCGCGGGAGAAAGATGAGGCTTTCTGCTCCCATAAAGATTTACAGCCTCGGAAACCCTGTACAGGTTCACTATCAGTTGGAACTGACTCAACAGCATATAACACCATCAACAAAAACATCTATGTTTATCACATGAATGAGTGAGTGGATGAATTCACAGCTTTAGGAATTGAACATTAAAGACAGTACTACTGCTTTACATTCCTTTGCCTGTACTGAGAGTGAGCTACATTATGTCACTTTTAACCATCATGGTACCACAGTCCCGTGACGACTGTCTGCTAAAATGCAGGTGTTTAACCACCTGAGCCCAGCCTGGGGTCCTCTTCCTAACTCAATCAATATGGCGGCAAGCCCAGGTCTTCTGTTTCACACTCACCTGGGTGGATCAGACAAGAGTCACACTCATTCTCCTCGTTCCGACAGCAGGGGATGGTATAACCCACGACTTCCTTCCTCCCAGGGCAGACACACTCAATCTGATCATATTCACAACACTCTCGGCACATGATGTTCCATTCAGCTCCAGGGCAGGCTTCATTAATGACCGTATACTCTGCAAAGGAAAAGCAGCAAGTGAGGCCCTCGGTCCTGGTAGAAGTGGTGAGGTCTATATGCCGCAGGTCCTGTCCTGCTGAGATGTAGCCTTGTGTTATTACAAATGTGTTGCTCTGTCTGCAGGACAGAGCAAATCCATATGGATTCTTCCTGGACCCGATCTCCAGAGTAGAATAGAGATGCTCAACACCATCATTTTGAATACAGAGAGAACATGCTAGAACTGCCATCCAATTTCATTTTCTTTATCTTAAAAAAGGGAACACTGGTAGCGTAGCAGGTTACACGTTTTTCTTCTAACCACAAGGTCAGTAGTTCGAATCCACCAGCCACTCAGTGGGAGAATGATGAGACTTTCTGCTCCTATAAATAAAAGATTTACAGCCTCAAAAACCCTATACAGGGTCGCTATGAGTCAGAACTGACTGGCCTCACATAGCAGCAGCTGTAACCTTAAAAAAAAGAGTCTGGTGTGGTGCAGTAGGTTAAGCACAGGTCGGTGGTTCAAACCCACCAGCGCAACTTGGAAATCCTATACAGGGTCGCTATGAGTCAGAACCTACTGACTCAAAAGTACTTAACAAGAACAACCATCTAAAAACAGGAACCAGGGTAGTGTAATGGGTTATGCATCTTGCTGCACATGGCAAGAGCAGTATTTTTTTAAAAAAAGAAGAGAAATCATTCTTTATTAATACATAATCTAAGTAGACTGACACTAGGACAATTACGTCATTGATAAGCACATGTACATCTCTTAGGGGTCTGAACTAGGTTGAATAGTACCGCCCCCCCCCCAAACATTCTGACCCACCTGGAACCTAGCAATGTGTTCTTATTTGGAAATAAGGTCTCTGCAGATATAATCAGTTAAGATGAGGCCACGGGGCATTAGGGTAGCCTCTAAATCCAATTGTCTGATGTCCTTCAAAGATGAAGAGAAAGAGAGAGTGACCACCATTTGACAACAGAGGCAGAGATCAGAATGATGCAGCTACAAACCAAGGAGTGCCAAGGATTGCCAGCAACCACCAGAAAGAAGAAACAGGCAAGGAAAGGTGCTTTTCCAGAGTCTTCAGAGGAAGCATGACCCAGGGACACCTTGATGGTAGACGTGTAGCCTTCAGAACTGTAGAGAATAAAGTTCTGTTGTTTAAAACCACTCAGTGTGTGGTGCTTTGTTGCAGCTGTCCTAGGGAATGAACACCGACCCACGCTCATTTCTATTTTTGTCAGGGTACATCAGACCACCAGTTATAGCACTGCACAACTCCCGGGGGTGAGGTGGACGGGTGCCATTCGATTGCGTGACCATATATTACTGTCTAAGCATGTGGGCCATGCAAAAAGTTAGGAGACCACTCTATTTACCAGGCCATTCAAGTGCATGGCTGGTTGCCAAGTAGAAATGATATCATTTCCTCCAAACTTGGATCTTTGATTCCACAGCATGCCGTTCTCATGGTATCTTTAAAGTTAAAACCAACAGGAAAGACAAAAACTACCTTAATTAGTATGGATGGGACAATTTCAATGTTTTACCAGGGTGAACTCATTAACAAAGTTTCATTCAGTTCCCCAAATACAACCGGGAGTTCTTTTCCGTGTGAGAAACAAAAATAAAAAGCAAAGGTATTCCTTTCTGGGTAAGATTTTTTTCTCTCTCTCTCTTTAACTTTTATGTTTTTAAATATACCTAAAGTAAATGAAAATGAAAAACCATCTGGCAAAATCTATAAGAGGAATCAGCTTGATGCTTCCCAGAGGAACCTAAGCTAAGAAACAAACCTTCTGGTCTCGATTGGTTCTCTTTTATTCGCACTCTTCATTTCTAAAAATTATGCATAAAAGCAACAATTGAGGTGAAACGGGTCAGATATTTGAGGAAGAATGTGAAACTTGAGGTCCCAGTAAAGCCTTCCCTGGAAACCCCAAGGCAGGGATCCCCAGCATGCTTTGCAGGCCACTTAAGCCGACTCTAACATTTGTGCTGGCTCTAAAGTCATCAATTTCATAGTTTAATTTGATATTTTCCTCAGCAAATTTAGAGGTCTGACCTAGGGTTAACCAGTTAACTAGTTGCCATCAAGTTGATTCCAACTCACAGCCACTCAGTGGGAGAATTATGAGGCTTTCTGCTCTTATAAACAAAGATTTACAGCCTCATGTATGTTAGAGAAGACCTGTGCTCTATAGAGTTTTCAATGGCTAATTTCTCTGATGTTGGAGAAGAATCTTAAAAGGACCGTGGACCGCTACAAGAACAAACAAATCTGTGTTGGAAGAAGTTCAGCCAGAAGGTTCCTTGGAAGCCAGGATGGCAAGACTTTGTCTCATACTTCAGACATGTTGTCAGGAGGGCCCAGTCCCTGGAGAAAGGCATCATGCTTGGTAAAGTGCAAGTGAGAGCAAAAGAGGAAGCCCACCAATGAGATGGACTGGCACAGTGGCAGCAGCAATGGACTCAAGCTTAACACTGATTGTGAGGATGCCACAGACCAGGCAGCATTTTGTTCTGTTGTGCACAAAGTCTCTATGAGTTGGAACTGACTCTAACAACAACAACAATTTTTCTGAAGTAGATTGCCTGGACTTTCTTCAGATGTATCTCTCAAATCTTCAACCTTTCAGTTAGCATCCAGACCACACAGGGACACAATGCTGACCACTGTTAATTTGCTAAGTGAAGACATTTAAAGAAAGTACCAATACCTATTCTCAGCCTCAGGGCATAAAAACATTCTAGCATTACAAACAAGAGCCACCTGCACACAACTTTCTCAAACAAAGTGGCTGGTGCATTTGAATCACTGGCCTTTTAGTTAGCTGTCTAGTACTCAATCCACTGTTCCACCAAGCCTCCTTAATTCCCTAAAACATTTCCTTTGGCCTTTCTCTTGTGTCAATAAGGAAGCCCACCTCTACCTTCTATAACCCATCACATTAACTTTCTAGGTAGGTATGTTGTTGTTTCCACCACTTGTCTGTCAGTTTGTTGCACTGTGGTGGCTTGTGAGTTGCCGTGAAAGCTATGCCACAGGTATTTTAAATACCAGCAGGGTCACCCATGGTGGACAGGTTTCAAATGAGCTTCCAGACAACAACAGACTAGGAAGAAGGAGTGACAAACTACTTCTGAATATTTAGTCACTGAAAACCTTATGAATAGCAGAGAAACACTGTCAGATATAATGCCGGAAAATGAGCCCTTAGGTTGGAAGGTACTCAAAATGCAACTGGGGAAGAGCTGCCTCCTCAAAGTAGGGTTGATCACGATGGACTAAAGCCCGTGTAAGTAAAGCCCGTGGGACCTTCATTTGCTGATGGGACACAACTCAAAACAAAGAGAAACAGTTGTAAACATCCATTAATAATCAGAACATGGAATGTGCAAAGTATGAATCTAGCAAAATGGGAAATTGTCAAAAATGAAATGGAACACATAAACATCCATATCTTAGGCATTGTTGTTGTTACGTGCCATCGAGTCGGTTCCGACCCATAGCGACCCTGTACAGGGTTTCCAAGGAATCTTAGGCATTAGTGAGGTGAAATGGACTAGTATTGGCCATTTTGAATCTGACAACCACATGGTTTACTATGCCAAGAATGACAAATTGAAGAGAAATGGTGTTGCATTCAATGTCAGAAAGAATATATCCAGATTAGTCATGAGGTACAACGCTGTCTGTGATAGGATAATATCTATGTGCCAACAGGGAAGACCAGTTAATACTACTATTATTCAAGTTTATGCACCAACCACTAAAGCCAGTGAAGATGAAATAGAAGAATTCTACCAACTTCTTCTATCTGAAATTGATCAAACTGCATTCAAGATGTATTGATCATTACTGGTGATTGGAATGCAAAAGTTGGGAACAAAGAGGAAGGATCAGTAGTTGGAAAATATGGCCTTGGTGATAGAAATGATGCTGGAGATCACATGATAGAATTCTGCAAAACCAATGATTTGTTC